AGATAAGCATTTGCTGCTATCAATTTCTCGTGCATTTCATTGGTGTCCGCAGTTTGGTTTGAAGCCAATCCAGTTCTGAGCATTGCGATACGGGTTCTCGTATTAACATATTCAGCACTATTACTGTAATTTGGCGTCGCACAATGTAGATTCCTGCCGTTGAACAACTTAACATCCACGGAAGCCCACCGGAAACGAAAGAGTGGGTAGAACTTTTAAAATTATGGTGCAGTATTCGGAAAGGAGAAATGCAAAATCAATCGGTCCTATTTTTGACGTTGGGCGGCCGACAGCTGATGAAGAATGTAGCGTTCCTGAATGTTCCTGTTGAATTGCCGTTCGAGGAGTTGAAATCCTTACTGATGGGCCACATTTTCCCAGTGGGTTTCTGGGCCACTGAACGGGCCAAATTCAACTCAATGATTACAGCTGCCAACATTCCGTGCCGTGAGTTCATTCTCCAGTTGAACAAACAGGCGTCAAAATGCAACTATGGTGACCGATTGGAAGAAAAACTTTATGATCGTCTCATTGCTGGAATCAATATCTCACTGCAAAGTTAGTTGTTGGAAAAGAAAGATATAACGTTTGCTGAGGATCGAAAAACCTGTGAGCAAAGTGACGATTTGTGTGCTGCCACAAATGCAGATACTCCTGTGTCATTCCATCGTCAATCAACGAAACCATTACGTGACGCACCCAGTGTTCATAATTCACCCCAAGTACCCAGTTCAAGCCGAACACAACGGAAAGCTGCGACCAACTGTTGCTTTTCATGTGGTGAATACCATCTTCGTTTGACTTGTCGGTTCCGTAAGGCCACTTGACATGCATGTGGTAAGATGGGCCATATCCGCAAGGTATGCCCAATGCCCAAGTGCAACCTCGTCGATTTCCATATCCCAACGGCTGATGAGAACTTATGTCCAATCTACACGCTGGAGACCACTAAACCCAAAAGTCAGTTTGTATTCTCCCCACTGAGATCGAGTCTGGTGTGTAGCATCGATTCATAATGGACACAGGAAGCAGCGAATCGATCCTACCGAAATCAGCACTCACTGCGATTTGTCTTAATGCTGTTCTAGCCCGACTTCAGTGAGCATTCATGGGGTTACCGGCCATCAATTGCAATTATTTGGCGAAACGATGTTGTGCGTTCAATCTTAGTTTGGTATGTCAATCTTGATCGGAATCCTGGTATCAGCCCACAGTCCGTCTATTCTGGGACTCCGAGCAATATGGCTACTACAACGATCACTCACACTGCATACCAACAACGATAAGCCAATCACCTCACATCTTCAACACTTGATTGTACAATGTTCCGGTAACGTTGGTGGCATGAAGGTACCATCGGTAAACTTGGAATTGGACGGTGAACCTGTTTTCCAAAAATGACGCGTCCTCCTATACGGTCAACGGGAAGGTGTCCTGAAAGCATTACAGAAAATGGAGCAGGATGGTATGATAAGCAAAGTTGAATCCAGTAACTGGGCGACCCCAATTGTTGTGGCGATGAAAAGTGATATTAGGACACTAATGATCTTTGGAGACTATCGACTGACGATGAATACCCGATTGCGGAGATATGCAGCAACTGGACCGTTGTAAGTTGGCGCCAAATTGAAATTTTTGAGTGCTCGCTCTGATAATTCGTTTTTTGAATCTAAAAGTTTACTTTTTCGAAATAAACCTTCACTTTATTTACTATTAATCCTTTTTATGACAAATTTGGTATCACGTTTCTGGCCGCGGCTCCTACTGTCCCAAGGGTCACAATTTTGTGCGTAATACTGTTACGTACTCCTATTTTGTGCTTTTTCGTATTTTCCATATATCATCGTTATATCACAGCCTACTCTTAAAATTCTAGCAGAAAATAACGATAATGTCTCAATCCAGGATGTATCTCTGGACGAGGAAACTTAACCTATGCGTCTCGATAACACGGTAATCAACACTTCCTCAGTGATACAAAACAGGCTACTCTTATCCCAAGGCGGGACAATCCTAAGTCTAAAGACGAAAGTTGCCAAACTGGAGGCGGAGTTGGCGGAGGTGAAAGCACTAGTAGTAGGTCTCTCTTTCCAATTCGAAGCCAGTAAAATGACCCTCCAGGTATCAGACCAAATCATATTAGACACCGCCAATAAGCTGTCTGAGACAGAGGCATGCAGCGAACGCATCATTATCTGGGATAGGTTTCCATGAGAAACACCTGCTCATAGGGTCAAGAAAATCCTGGATAGCCTCAAATCACTGGAGATCCTGAACCCAATCAAGTGTTCATATCTTGCAACAAAAACCAATAAAACGATCACAGGTATCGTGGTCCAGTTCACCCAAAGCGCAACAGTATGGCACTGTCTTGCTCAGGCGAATATAATCAACAGATGTAAGTATGTCACAGGTATATTCCGCGACATTCCTCTCCATGTCAGAAAACCTGACAAAAAACCTGGTAGCGTAAAAATAGATGAGAAACTGCAAATGCGTACCACAGTCAATCTCACACGACTGGATATTGAGAAGGTACAACAAATCTCCTCTCCTAAAAAGGACAAGAATCTATGCTTCGCTCCACTAGTCGCCAGCACTCCCGACGCAAGCTTTGCCAAAATAATGATGGATGAACCAACCATAGTCGGGATCCTCAACCGCAATTTATTATCACCTATGAAACCATCCCTCCTCCAGCAAAGGAGGTCAAAGGCCCAATCAATGTGCCCACCATCCGACCAATAGCTGGGATGATGGGGATACTTAGTAATCCACCACCTATGGCAATCTCCTCAGTTCACACCCCGGTGCAACCTAAATCTTGTTTCTCCAAAACTAAAAACCTAAGAAACAATCTTTCTGTGCCAAAGCTCGAAATGTTGGCAAGCGTCGCCAGGTTGCTCCCAGAGCTGACGCCATGATAGGACTGTAAGAAAAGTAAGACGAGCCAACCCCGTTTTCTGTCCCCAGTAGACCGCTCTCGACCACCAGACAGAGTGAAACCCCAGAAAATTGGCAAGTTAATCTCGCCAGCACGAAACATGGATACCAAACACATGGCACTACCCTCCAAGAAGTTCTCACGGGTGCCAAGAATCCCCCTCCCCCGGAGCAAAAAGGTTGAAACACCTCCACTCCAAAACTCTCACACGTCTCCTGCCATCCTACTAGACCTGCTGAAATACATAGTGAGCAGGTGCTGAGGTGCGTATCAATCAATTGCCTCAGTATAACTAATAAAACCCTTGAACTCGACAATTGGCGCACGATGCGAAGCCACACGTAATAGCCCTAACTGAGAGGTGGCTAACTCCAGAGATACTAGTTGGGGAAAAATGATAGATGGTTTCAACTTGTTTAGACAGGACTTAAACCGTGGCCATGCGGGTGGAGTGGCTCCCTCCCTAATGGTTCCCTCCCACCTGCTTTGCGTGTTTCCCTTTCTACTATTATATATATATATTATGACCTTTGTCCATCTTGTGTTCCGTTTTCACGGAAAACAGCACATTTATGTTCCTTCTATATCACCTTGCAAATTGGATACTTGAACTCTGTACTATCACTTACTGTCCCCACTGTAATTTCATATTATTGTACATTTGATCATGCGCACAAGCATGCTTCACGGGCTTCGTGAAATATACCATTATTATTATTCAAGCGATTGAGAATCTATTGGTGAATATCGTCTTCCCGAGCAGGGACTCACTCCTCCTTGGGGTTGTTTATCGCTCCACATCAAGCACACAAAAGGAATGTCAATCACTTCTAACTCAAATTCGCGAACTCCGTCCCACCTTCTCACACTTTCTTATCCTGGGCGACTTCAACGCCCCGAATATCGACTAGCCCAGATACCACTCAAGAGATAGAATGTTTGGGGCCCCTTATAAACCTCTTCAACGAACACTGGTGGTACCAACACGCAAATTCTCCCAAGAGATACCGTATCTTCCAGAGTCCCTCTTTGCTTGATCTTGCGATTACTAACGAACGACACCAGATCGACATGATCGCGTATCCAAGTTCTGTTG